GTATGTTGGGCCTTTTTTTTTTATCTGACAATGTGTTTGGGTAAATGTAGGAATAAATTGGTAAAAAGTGTGTATGTGTGTGTGTGTGATTGTTTTATTAAGATGGGTCTCTAGCTTGCTAACTGCTGATCTTGAAACTTATTAGCCTCCACAGTTGCTGAAGCCAGTTCCTCAACACACACACACACACACACACACACACACACACACACACACACACACACACACACACACACACCCTTTTCTATTTCCCTGGAGAACCCTGACTGATACAGATACATGCCCACACTTATGTGGAGAAGAGGAAACATGGTAGAGGGACAGGGATAGAAGCTAGACCTCTTTGAATGTATCTTGTTTTGTAGATTTGACTTTGGTGCCTTCTAAATAGTTCACAAAACTATAACAAAATTAAATGTTAAAAAAGCTCTCATGAAAAATTGAGAGGTGGGGAGGAATGAAACAATTAAACCTGACTTGACAGCAGGTTGGTGGCATAACCATACAGAATGGAATTAGTTCAAGTGGCTTTGAGACCCACTCATTTCCTGTACCTGCCTAGAAGGATACACTCTGAAGCTTTTTTTTAATTTTTTTTAACTTTATTATGTTATGTTAATCACCATACATTACATCATTAGTTTTTGATGTAGTGTTCCGTGATTCATTATTTGCGTATAACACCCAGTGCTCCATTCAGTACATGCCCTCTTTAATACCCATCATGATGCTAACCCATCCCCTACCCCCCTCCCCTCTAGAACCCTCAGTTTGTTTCTCAGAGCCCATAGTCTCTAATGGTTCGTCTCCCCCTCCGATTTCCTCTCCTTCATTTTTCCCTTCCTACTATCTTCTTTTTTTAAAAAAACATATAATGTAGTATTTGTTTCAGAGGTACAGGTCTGTGATTCAACAGTCTTACACAATTCACAGCGCTCACCATAGCACATACCCTCCCCAATGTCTATCACCCAGCCACCCCACCTCCCCAACCACACCTCCCCTCCAGCAACCCTCAGTTTGTTTCCTGAGATTAGGAATTCCTCATCAGTGAGATCAAATGATTCATGTCTTTCTCTGATTGACTTATTTCGCTCAGCATAACACCCTCCAGTTCTATCCACGTCATTGCAAATGGCAAGATCTCATTCCTTTTGATGGCTGCATAATATTCCATTGTATATATATACCACATCTTCTTTATCCATTCTTCTGCCGATGGACATCTTGGCTCTTTCCATAGTTTGGCTATTGTGGACTGCTGCTATAAACATCGGGGTGCACATACCCCTTCGGATCACTATATTTGTATCTTTGGGGTAAATACCCAGTAATGCAATTGCTGGGTCATATGGTACCTCTATTTTCAACTCTTTGAGGAACCTCCATACTGTTTTCCAGAGTGGCTGCACCAGCTTGCATTCCCACCAACAGTGTAGGAGGGTTCCCCTTTCTCCGCATCCCCGCCAACATCTGTCGTTTCCTGACTTGTTAATTTTACCCATTCTGACTGGTGTGAGGTGGTATCTCATTGAGGTTTTGATTTGGATTTCCCTGATGCCAAGCAATGTTGAGCACTTTTTCATGTGTCTGTTGGCCATTTGGATGTATTCTTTGGAAAAATGTCTGTTCATGTCTTCTGCCCATTTCTTGATTGGATCATTTGTTCTTTGGGTGTTGAGTTTAAGAAGTTCTTTATAGATTTTGGGTACTAGCCCTTTATCTGATATGTCATTTGCAAATATCTTCTCCCATTCTGTCCATTGTCTTTTGGTTTTGTTGACTGTTTCCTTTGCTTTGCAAAAGCTTTTTATCTTGATGAAGTCCCAATAGTTCATTTTTTCCCTTGCTTCCCTTGATTTTGGCGATGTTTCTAGGAAGAAGTTGCTGCGGCTGAGGTCGAAGAGGTTGCTGCCTGTGTTCTCCTTTAGGATTTTGATGGACTCTTTTCTCACATTTAGGTCTTTCAACCATCTGAGTCTGTTTTTGTGTGTGGTGTAAGGAAATGGTCCAGTTTCATTCTTCTGCATATGGCTGTCCGATTTTCCCAGCACCATTTGTTGAAGAGACTGTCTTTTTTCCATTGGACATTCTTTCCTGCTTTGTCGAAGATCAGTTGACCATAGAGTTGAGGGTCTAAAGCTCTTTCAAGATAAATTTTAAATTGTTTTTCTTAATCATAATGTTAGAATAGTAGTGGCTCTGTGTACTGTGGGTTAAATCAAATGAGTAATCATTTTGGTGTTGAGAAAACAGATTTTTGGTATGCAAGAAAGGTAGTAACACTGTAAGATCCATGAGATTAAATGAAAACATTCGTGTCCTCAATTTGAAGTTTAATGGGATGGGGCACCTGGGTGGCTCAGTCGGTTAAGCATCTGCCTTCGGCTCAGGTCATAATCTCAGGGTCCTTCCTGGGATCGAACCCCGCAGTGGGCTCTCTGCTCAGTGGGGAGTCTGCTTCTCCTTCTCACTTCCCTCTGTGCTCTCCCTCTCTCAAAGAAATAAATACAAGCTTTTTAAAAAAGGAAGTGTAGGGTACCTGGGTGGCTCAGTTGGTTAAGCGACTGCCTTCGGCTCAGGTCATGATCCTGGAGTCCCAGGATCGAGTCCCGCATCGGGCTCCCTGCTCGGCAGGGAGTCTGCTTCTCTCTCTGAACCTCCCTCCTCTCATGCTCTCTATCTCATTCTCTCTCTCAAATAAATAAATAAATAAATAAATCTTTTAAAAAAAAGTCTAATGGGAATTCATGGTGTATTCTATTTTAAAAATACAAAACTTCTTTCCAGCTCTGTCCATAGAAACAAGGGTCAATCCAGTAGCAATGAGCACCCAAAGCTATCAGTCTGTGGTCTCTCAACACTAGTTGCCACAAAACTGAACCAAGCATTTTTACTAGAAATGGCTGGTTCCAGGCCTGGGACAGGACATGTGCGCAATAACCCTAGATCATGTTGTCATACCAGAAGCAAAAGGGCGATCAAAGACTGCTGGATCACATTATAAGGACTTAGGAGCCAACTTGAAGAGGTTCCCACTGAGCAAGGGTAGGAAAATTAGAACTTCAGTAGCAGTAAAAACTGCACTGGCATGAAACAAAAAATGTCTGTAATGATACTAAAAAAATGATACTTAAAAAAAAAACAATTGGTTATCTTTGGAGGATACTAGGTAACCAATATTTTGAGAATCAATAAAGGAGGAAAAATCATGCACCTTTCAGGTTTTTATAAACTGTAATTTAGGGTACACAGTTGATGAAATGTGATTTCTCTTGATAGAATACCCCAGCTAATAAATTAAGAAACAATAGAATTATTTTCTCACCAATTTGAAATCTCTAGTGAAATAATAGATCTTCTAGGCAGAGATCACCAATGTCTGATGACATCACAGCAGAAGACATTGTATGCCTCTTGATAGAGTATGTAGTAGGCAGAAAAATGCCATCCACTTCGAAGATGTCAATGTCCTCATCTTAGAACCCCTGAAAATATCACATTATGTGGCAAAGGAGAATTAACGTTATGGGTAGTATTATGGTTGCTAATCAGGTGACTTTAAAATGGAGAGATTGTCCTGGATTATCCAGGTATGCCAGGTGAAATTACCAGGGTCTTTAAAAGTGGAAGAGAGAGGTGGAAGACTCATCATCAGAGTGATTAGACATGAGGTGGTTTCAACCAGTCATTGTAGACTTTGAAGATGACAGAGGCCACAAGCCCAGAAGTGTGGGCAGGCTCAGGAAGCTAGAAAAAGTCAAGAAATGGGTTCTCCCTTTGAGCCTCCAGAAAGGAGTGCAGCAGCCCCGCTGGCACCTTGATTTTCGCCCTTTGAGTCCTGGGTCAGACTTATACAGATTTGTGATATAATACACTTGCGTTGTCTTAAGCCAAGGAATTTGTGGTTATTTGTGATGATAGCAATAGAATAGTAATATACTCCATTTCCTGGAATGTGTTCTTCCCAGAAAACAGAGCCTAAATGTCATCAAGCCTCTTGATCTAACTACCAATTTACAAGAAGTATAGGGGACAGAAGAACACGTTGTATGAAATTAGGGGAATGTTCAGCCACATGTAAATGCTGAGCAGTGCTGTTAGAAAAATGACATGTTCTGCTCATCAAATAAAGGATGGATGTGTATGTGGATCTGTGAGAGAGAACTGGACTGATTTAGGAGATTTTTAGGAGATGGCCTACTATTTCATGTATCGACCAGTTGTAGTAGGGAACTTGATTCAAGGAAGAAATCCAAGGAGAGAAAATAAAAATGAATGAAATTTGAACATTGACTCAGGGTATTAGATGATATTAATGATTTTATTATTTTTGTGATGGTGGTGGTGGTGATGGTATTATGGTTATATTTAACCAAAGGAGGTGGGTGTGGTGGGTATAGCAGATAACAATAGCCATAAATGGATCATTGTTGAAGACAAATGATAGTACACAGGTGTTTGCTATTTATCCTTTCTATTTTTGTATATATTTTAATATTTCCGTAATAGAATATCAGTAAAAATGTCAGTAACTAATTTGACCTCTTGAATATTTTGAGAGCAAAACACACTGTGTCCAAAAACTGGATTCGACCAAGAGACTGCCACTTTGCAATTTTTGCACAAAGTTTTGGAAACTGGACCATGTACTTTAACCTGGGGAATTATCCTTTTATCATTTTCCCACTTACCTCCTGCCTCCATTCTGTCTGCAATACCTAGCAAAAGGGCCCTCTTCATCTGTGCTAGTAAATGACTAGGGGGCATTACAGATTGCTTGGAATAGAATTTTCTGAGAATAAGTGAGCAAAGAGGGTAATATGCATAATTGCATTGAACAATACCTCCCAGTATTTTATTGGACCCCCTCTCAGTCCATCTCTCAAAAAAAAAAAAAAAAAAAGGCAGTAACTTTGTTTCAATTTTTGAAAGCCTGAGGTTTTTTTGAAATATTGGCTAATTGGATTTTCTGTGATATCTTTGTGCTTCTATTTCAGGATGGAATGGGGAATTTGAGAATCACAGACAAAGGTCTAAAACTAGAAGGAGACTCAGAATTCTTGCAACCTCTCTATGCCAAAGAAATCCAGTCCCGACCAGTAAGTACTGCCATGAGAAAAAGGAATGGTGATTTCTCAGGAATCTAAATCTGGGGAAATTTATCATCAGCCATCAGCTGAGTATAGAGCATCATGGGAGGGAATGGTAATATAGGTAGTAAGATATGATCAAATCTGAAGTCTTGAGCATAATCCCTGCTGTGGTACTGTACGGAACTGTGATGACCTCTCTGAGCCTTTATTCCTGCCAAAGGGGGTAATAACCTCTGTTAATGAACTGTTCTAGATTATGCTGCAAATATGCCCAGAAAGTAAATGTGGAAATGCTTTGAGTACTATATAAATCCAAGAAAGTATTGCTATCTTTTTTAATTGTCAAGTGCTCTAAATGCTGTCTTTGGAAACACGGAATGAAAGAATTAGAATTTTGTTTTTCATTAAGAATTTGGACAGTGTAGCCAAGATTGGTTAGAATCACTTCAATTATCAACAACTCTGCACTGAAATGGTATTTAAATAATCACTCTAGTGTACGTGCTCTGTTCCATGCACTTTGTTGCTTTGTGTGCATTATTGTTACCTAATTTAATCCACACATCGGTCCCCAGGGTTGGCAATTATTGTTGCCTCAATTTTACAGATTAAAGAATGGAGCCTTAGAGAAGTACTATGTTCAGAGCCACATACTTACAAAGTAGTAGAGCAAGAACTTCAACACAGGAAATCCAGTTCTAAAGCTTTTCTGTTAACCAGAGTCCACGACCTAACCTTCTACCCTCATTCTTTGTTTTTGTCATGATACAAGTGAATTCTAGATATTTTGCTTTTATTAACCAATATTATCAAAATTAATTTTTGGTTTTGAGTGGTTTTTTTTTTCCAGTTGTTTATTTGGCTTTGTTTGGTCTTTTGTTTGTTGGAGTGGTGAGATTTGCTGGTTGAAAAGGATTATTAATGCATTTGCTCTTCTGGGATTGGTTCATGTCCACATGCAAGCAAAAAGTAATGTGGAAGGTCCCCAAAGCTTTATTTGCATAAATGTGCATTGATGAACATAATTAATGAAATTCAGCAACTCGATGCAGTGGGTAATTTTATCTGAATGCTATCTAAACAACTGAATTATATTAAACTGGGTGCAGCTGCTGAATTGCCAATACCTTTACTTCCTTCTGTGCCTAGTAACAGGGAGGGAACCATGATGTTAAAATGATCAAAAAGAGCAAATCAGCCACCCTATTAGTGATTATAAAATTTAACTGGAACTCATCACACACTGGGTTAGGCAGGAAAGTATCAAGAGTACTGTAAATATATCCATCGTCTTGAAGAAATCATATCCTAGAAGGAATCATGGGATAAAGCTATAATAAGGAGAGTCAAGTGATGATTCTGTGTTGAACAGAATGGAGACTGTCAATTTCAAGCATTTAAGAAATCACTCTTATGAGCATTGCTGCAATCTATATTTCTCCCAACCTGGCAAGTTGGTTAGTTAAATTATCTTTTGAGTTATTAGTTGTACTTTAGATTAATCTTATCTGTATTAAGCTTTATTTTTTTGAGTATTGTTGACACAGTGTTATATTAGTTTCAGGTATACAACATAGTGATTAAACAAGTTGATACATTATGCCATGCTCACCACAAGTGTAGCTACTATTTGTCACCATGCAACATTATTATAGTATCATTGGCTATATTACTTCTGCTCTGCCTTTTATTCCTGTGATTTATTCATTCCAGAACTAGAAGCCTGTACCTCCCTCTCCCCTTCACTCATCTCCCCATCCCTAACTCATCTCCCCTGAGGCAGAGTTTGTGCTCTATATTTAGAGGTCCGATTCGGCTTTTTCTTAGTTTGTTTATTCATTTGTTTTTTCACATTCCACATGTGAGTGAAATCATATGGTATGTGGCTTTCTCATCTAACTTAGTTCACTTCGCATAATATCCTCTAAGTCCATCCATGTTGTCGCAAATGGCACGAGATCTCATTCTTTTTATGGCTGCATAATATTCCATTGTGTGTGTGTGCGTGTGTGTGTGTGTATACACTACATCTTCCTATTCTGTATTAAACTTATTTAACTCACAAGTTTGGACTGATAATTTCCTTCTACTGGTGTTGCCCCCTCCCTTTTTTTTGTAAAGGGCCAAATAGCAAATATTTTAGACTTTTTTTCCTTTTCTACAACTCCTTAGAAATGTAAAAAATGTTCTTATCTTGAGGGCCACCAAAGAAATAGGCTGAAGGTTGTAGTTTGCCAAGCTTCTAACCTATATTAGTGATATTTCTATAAATATATAGATGATCTGGCTAAACTGCATGTGGTACAAGAGTAGATTTTAAGGTCATGGGTAGAATAGCTGAGAGAAGTTTCCTTGGTGTAGAGTCCTTAAGGAAATTGAAATAAATAAATGGGTAAATACACATTTTTAAATTTTAAAAAATGGAAAAAAAAATTTAAAGGAATTGAGAGGGGCACCTGGGTGGCTCAGTTGGTTAAGTGTCTGCCTTTGGCTCAGGTCATGGTCCCAGGGTCCTGGGATTGAGCCCTGCATTGGGCTCCCTGCTCAGCTAGGGAGTCTGCTTCTCCCTCTGCCTGTTCCCCACTCATGCGCTTGCGTGCTCTCTCTCTCTCAAATAAATTTTAAGAAAAGCTTGTTTTAATCTTGAAAAATCAATGAGTTAAATGCAGTGCTTTCACATCACCATTTAAGGAAAATAAAGTGTCAGAATTCACTGTTTTTCTTTGTTCTTAAGAAAGTATTTTCCTTCGGGGTGCCTGGGTGGCTCAGTCTAGCATCTGCCTTTGGCTCAGGTCATGATCTCAGGGCTCTGGGATCGAGCCCCGTGTCCCTGCTTGGTGGGAAGCTGCTTCTCCCTCTCCCACTCCCCCTGCTTGTGTTCCCTCTCTCGCTGTCTCTCTCTGTCAAATAAATAAAATCTTTAAAAAAAAAAAGAGTATTTTCCTTCCAAAAAATAAATAGTAAATAAAGCTCTTTTAGCTTAAATATTTCTGACAACAAAATAAGTATCTTCTCACTGAAGGAAACACACACACACACAGAAATGCATATACAGTAAAATCCACCGGTAAGTCCCATGAGCTTTCGCCGAAACAGTGCCCATATCCGTCCCCTCATCCCCTCTTCTTCTTCAAATCACACGCCACCCACCGGCTCCAGCCAGCACCCTCTCCCACTTGCATCACTGCTATAGCCTCCTCCCTCTCCAATACCTTTCTCTTGTAGCCTCATCATCCAAATCGTAGCCGAAGTGGGCTTTTTGAAATGTCAAGTCTCTCCACCCTTTATAGAGGATTCTGTTAACTTCCCATTGCACCTGGAATAAACTCCTACCTCCTCACGATGGCCTATACAATTCTCTCCTAGATGTTTTTCATGGAGGGTTCCTTGTGGTCATCATGTTCTCAGTTTAAATGTTGCCATTTTAGAAAGACCTTCCTCATTTAGCACAACAGCCATATATAAAACATCCCCCTGGTTCTCCCCCCCTTTTAGCTGTCATTATTTGACATTCTTGTTTGCTCAAGAATATAAATGGGCAGATCAGGAGATTGTACAGATCTTCCCTAGTATATTCCCGAGCCCTGCTGCTACTGTATCTACCACACAGTATGTGCTCAGTAGATACTTGTGAAATTGAATAATAAATCATTAAAAATAAAGTATCACTTAAATCTATCTTGCAGGGCCAAGCACTGTTAACAGGTCAGTGTACTTTCTTAGGCATTTCCCACAAGTATATTTTTTAAATAAAACCATACTTTGCATATTCTTCTGTACCTTTTCTCCTCCAAATAATGTATTAACAGTAAATTCTCTGTGTCTAAAAAATATTTAACAGTTTAAGAGCTTTTGTGAGGCATAATTGACATAGAATAAATTATACCTCTTTAAAGTGTGTACTACGATACGTTTTTGCACATGAAACCATCACCACAATCAAGATAATGAACATATCACCCTGAAGAGTTTCTCCCATGCCCCTTTTAGTCCCTCCACCCTGTCCCCAACCAACTTTCTGTCGTATGCTTTCTGTCCTGCACATTACTTTGCATTTCTTAGAATTTTACATAAATGGAATCATAAAATTTGCATATCTGAGTAATTTTAAGAACACATTGTCTACATGGCTTTATCAAGATCTCTTAACCATTTATTTAATATCCAACTTAAAGAAGAAATTTGCCTGCAATTGGGCTGTCTTGGCTTGCCTGGGGAGAGATAGCAGAAGTGACTCAGGGCATAGACCTTGAATATTTCCCTTTTAGATGACGTCAGAGCACTGAGAAGGGACTAGAGAATAGCACACTAGGCAGAGAAGCCAAGGTAGAATTAGTGTCTTTGGATTTTCACAAAAAGTGAAAACAGATATGCTGGATCAAAAAGGCAGAAGAACAAGATCAGAACCTGGTAACTTAGTCCATAGGGCTCCCCTTCCCTCAAGCCCAGGGGTAATTGCTAGTTCTTAGAGAAGAAGGTGGGGGAGGATTGTTGGACAGGCAACCAGTAGGATTTGCCATGTTGACTGAGTCATAACCTCACAGGTGCTCACGTGCCCCTCACATGTAACAGCTGCCCCTCTCCCATCTGGCAGTTTTAGCTTGTTGGTTTTTTTCTGATGCACCTGACCATTGCTTATAGACCACCTCTGGGAGGCTCTTCTCAGAAGAAGTATCTGCACTATCATTTCCCTATAGATCACAGCTGCCTTTATTTCTTTTTCCCACCAAAAAGAGATTAGTGCCCAGTTGAACAAGATTACTCAGCCCCTCTGAGCAAGGATAACTAACGAAGTAATACTTCATTCTGCTTTTGTGTTTCATTGATCTGAGAGGAATTGGGATTGGTTAAGCAATCCACACAATCTTCGATACTGTATCAGATTTCATTATTGAAGGTTGCAATCCTGTAAAGTCACTACAAATTGATTAGTGTGATAGCAATCACCCTGGAAGATTAATTAATGAGAAAATGTTCATCACTACAAAAACTTCCATCTGGGAATT